AACTCCTGGGCTCACATGATCCTCCTGCCTCAGCCTCCTGAGTAGCTGGGACTACAGGCATACGCCACCACCATGCCAGGCTAATTTTGTCATATATATATATATATTTTAATTGTCCAGCTAATTTCTTTCTATTTTTTTAGTAGAGACGGGATCTCTCTCTTGCTCACGCTAGTCTCGAACTCCCGAGCTTAAGCCATCCTCCCGCCTCGGCCTCCAGAGTGCTAGGATTACAGGCATGAGCCACCTCGCCTGGCCTAAACCATTTACTTTTAACATAATTGTCAATAAAGCCGAATTGAAATCCTCCTGTTGATCTTTGTTTTCTTTTGTTCCATTTGTTCACTTTTGCTTCTTTTTCTGTCTTCTTTTGAATTATTTAAGTATTTTTTAATTCAATTTTATATCTACTATTGGCTTATTAACTGTACCTCTTTAGTCGATAATTTTAGTAATTGCTCCAGTGTTTACAATATGCATCTTTAGCTTTTACAGTTTAACTTCAAATAATGTTATGCCATTTCATATACAGTGTAAGACACTTATAACAGGATTCTTCCATTCCCTTCTCATATCCCTTGTCCTATAACTATACTGTATTTATTTTTACATATACTATATATGCATATCCATATCATACATTGTTATTAGGTTCTTGAAACTGTTGTTTACCTTTCATGTGACTAAAACCTGCCTTTTGTATTTCCCAACACATATATTTTTTCTGGTATTTTCATTCCTTGTTTAAACCCTAATTTACTAATCCATCTACTAATATACTGATATTTCCTTTTTGTTAAAAAAAACCATTTCTTGTAATGCAGGTCTGCTTGCAGTGAATTCTCTCACCAAAAATATGCCTAGATTGGGTGGAGGTAGTGGTGAAACCGTCCCATAGGCGTATTTTGTAAAAACTTTCTAGGTGATTCTGATAAATCTCTTCCTGTGAGGGTATCTTAAAGCCTGAGACATGCTATAGATCCCTATTTTTATTTTAATTAAATTAATTAATTAATTTTTAGAGACGAGGTCTTGCTCTGTGGCCAGGCTGGAGTGCAGTAGTACAATCACAGCTACAGCAACCTCAAACTCCTGGGCTCAAGCCATCCTCCTGCCTCAACCTTCTGAGAAGCTGGGATTATAGACTTTTCTTTTTCTTTTTCATAGAGATGAGAGTCTTTGCTTTGTTTCCCAGGCTGGTCTTGAATTCCTGGGCTCAAGGTATCCTTCCGCTTTGGCCTTCCAAACTGCTGGCAACAGGCCTCAGCCACTGCGCCCGCTGGGATCTCCATCTTAAAATATTTTCCCTGATTTTTTCTAAATGATGTAATAAACTTACCCTTGTCATATGACGAAATACTATGCAGCTATTAAAAGTTGTTTTCAAAGAGTATTTAAGGACATTGGTAGTCAGGCACGTGGCGCCTGTAGTCCCAGCTACTTGGGAGGCTGACGCAGGAGGATTGCTTGAGCCCAGGAGTTTGAGGTTGCTATGAGCTAGGCTGATGCCATGACACTCTAGCCCTGGCAACAGAGTGAGACTCTGTCTCAAAATGAATAAATACACATAGAAACATAGTGGGATTTTTTTTTTAAAGAATAACGAGATACGACCTAGTACATATTATCCTGAAACTTGAGTTTTTCTCTTTAACATTCATAACACCACATATATATTTACCTCTTTTTCTACTGTTGCACGGTATTCCCAAAGTTGGATATATTAATTCCACAGTGTATTTAACTGTTTTCTTATTGATGGACATGCAGATTGTTTGAATCTTTTGTTACAAAGCCATAGTGAATATTCTTATAGATATTTCTTACTAAACATGTGTAAGTATTTCTCTAAGGTAGGTACCAAAAAGAGAGAAAAAAGGCTATGCACATTGTATATTTTAATAATTGCTAACAAATTTCCCTAAAAAAGGTTCTACTAATTTATGCTGTCATTAACAGGACAAGTTTCCCCACATCCCTGCCAACACTTAATATTATAAATCCTTAAAAATTTTGCCAATTTTATGAGAGAAAAATATTACCTTATTTTAATCTGTACTTCCCTAGTTATTGAGTTTCAGCAGTTTTTTCATGCTTATCTTTGTCATTTGCACTTCCTCCTTTCTGAATTGTTTTTTCATATCCTCCTTTTTCTCTATAGTGGATTGTCTTTTTCTTAGCGATTTCTTAGTTTCTTAAAAATATATTTTGGAAATTAGTTTTTTTGTTATACAGGTCTCAAACTTTTTCTGCCAACCTGTCACTTGTGTTTTATTGATTAGATTATTGTGATATTGTTAAATTTTTTTCTTTGTAGCTCTTGGGTTGTTCTTTGAAGCCCTTTCCTATCCTCTATTCTCTTATATTTAAAAAAAATCTTTTGAGCTCTTCAAAAAAGTTTAGTCCTTTAATGCATGTGGAAATTGATTTTGTGAATGGAGTGAGATAGACGCTGACCTAATTTGTTTTTCAAATGAATAATCGTCCAAACACTGTTTATCATCTTGCCCCACTTACTTGAAATGCTGTCTTCCTCACATACAAAAATTCCCATACATACATGAGACTATTTCTGTATTATCTCTTCTGTTCCATTTTCTGTGCTTATCTCAATAACATACAGATTTAATTTTATGGTTTTATAATATGCTTTGATATAGTACAGATCCCATCCACCTTTATTTCATTTATAATAAAAAAAAAGCTAAAAAAAAGGTCTATTCTTCATTGTTTACCTGCCTGGTTCTCACTTCTACTTCCAGAGAGCAGGCAGGTAAAATAAAAATTATCCATAGGCAAGACAAAGGAGCATGGGAAATGAGGAAAAGGAGACAAAAAAAGAGAAATGCTCTAAGATGATAGTTTTTCCCCTATACTTAAAGGGAAGGAATTATGCCACATTGAAAATAAATTACATTATGTGTGTCTAGGATATTTCAGCTGCTTTCTAAATCAAAGCTGTCTCTGACTTTCATAGCTAGCCAGTTACCAATGGCAGAGACCACGTAAACATAAAATGTGAATGGATTGGAAACAGAAAGAAACATGAAACCAACATTAGAAAGTGAACAAGAACTACAGAAATAAAGAACTTATGTTCTTCTTATGGATGTGAAAGCTCTGAGTTTAGTGCATTCATTTCATCCTGAGTTCTTCCGCTACCTCTACTTAGAGTAACTCGATATTTTATATGGATTATGGAGGGATTGTTTACTTAATAATGGAAATGACAGACAAAAGAAAAGTACTAAGAGGGATTACAGCAACAAGTACCAGAAAATACCATGTTACTTGGAGGAGGTTGGAAAGCATTGAAAAGAGAACTGAGCAAATAAGTGTTTGTAGTAAAATATTCACACTAAACGAAACCTTTAAATCTAACCGTTGTACACAATATGGTTATACTCAAAGCTCTCATGGGCAAGTGTGGTTTAGAGATGACAGTTCATTACAATGAATTTAGTTGTTGCTGGTTGAAAAGACATGTTGATAGGGCATGGTGATTGTCAAGATACTTGTGTCCAACAATGCAGTGTGGCCAAAGTTTCAGGGCTCAGTAAACCAGGAATAGGCAATAACAAAATCCTTTAATAACCACTCACAGAAAATCCTAATTTTTTATGGAGCCAAAGTGAACACTGTGGTTTACTGATCTCCTTTTAACCATTTATAATTAGTTGCTTTATGCTTAAAAGCAGACTATTTTTCCTAGTAAAGCAAAAATTGAGCAAGTTCTAAGGAGCCTCGCTCTTAGCGAGGATGTTCGCTCGGAGCTCGCTCTGCAGCGGGAGGCCGCCGGCGTTGATGCTCCGGTTCGGTTGCGCACGTTTCAGCGCTTCCCGCTCTTAACCGGCTGGGCTAAGACTTGAACTGCCGTCCCGCCCCCAATCCGGCTTCCTGCTCTGCCGGGGCCCCCGGTGCTAGCCACCTGTGCAGTCTTGAGCGGCTTCGAGAGCAGAGAGGTCCAAGGCGCCCAAGGATGCTTTCAAGAAAGGCATTCCATTACCATGAACAGCGAGGGGCCAGATTTCCCAGAGTCCAGAGCACCGATATAAAATACGTGTACATTCATGCAGCTCTGGAGAAAGAGAGGACGTTGTTTCACTAAGCAACTTAAGTAAGCAAAGAAAGGCGGAAAGTGTTTCACGCAGCTGCCAAGGCAGAAGTCAACTCAGCCCTCTCAAGTTTGTAGCCAAAGACTCACAGATATGTACACCATATCTTTTCTCAAATCCAGCCATCCCCTCCCCCGTTCGTTCTTTTACTGGCAAAGCAAAGACAGAGTTCACTCCTGGGTCTTTGGGAGCCAGCATAGTCCTGGGGCCGGGGCTGCAGCTGAGAATGTGGCCTTAATTGTTACGGAGGGGAGGAGGATAGAAGATAATTCTGTTTCCTTCCCCAAACCATTTAACTAACATTAATCTCATGCACAGTCTTCACAAAGTTTTTTTAACCCTCCTCCCCTCTCCTGAGCTCAGGCCCAGGTTACCGGCTTGGCCTCCCCGCCCGTCCCCGCCCGCCCCCACCCGCGCAGGCACCCAGCGCGACTGCGGCTCTCCATTAACGAACAACAGATCACTCCCGTCGCATGGCAAGCCGAGAGCTCTCGCCCCAGCAGAGCATGACGGGAGTCTCTCCCTCGTTCTGCCTCCCTCTTCTTCTTTTGTTATTCCTTCCTTTCCTTCTTCCACAATTAAGCCCTAAATAATGATATTCCTAGCCAGAGCTGACTTCTGGATGGGGTTAAGCGACCCACGATGACGCTCTCAACCTCCTTTCACAGCGGCGATTTCCAGAAAAAACTACAACTCCCATGAGGCAGCAGGCTAAGGCAACCGCAGGGAATTATGGAAGTCGTAGGCTCCTTCCTCCTCGGTCCCTTTCATCCCTCCAATCCTTGAACTACAAGTCCCAGGAGGCCTCGGTTCTGGCACGCCTGCGCGAGAGCCCTGGAGCTAGGTGGGGGTGGGGCTGCCCCGGGGGCGGGGGGCGGGGGGCGGGGTCCGAGCGGGCTGTGTGGAAGCTTCAGACTCCCGGCGCCATTTACCGTGGAGAGTTTCCCGGGCAGACGCGGCCCTTTTCTCTCGCCTACGTCGTGCCCCCTTCTTCGGTGACAGAAGGCGCCTGGTGGGGTGACTGCTCTTTTGTCTCCCTATCCCCCTCCATCCAGTCCTCTCGGTCTCTACTCTCGCTTCAGAGAAGCAGCGGAGCTCGGGCCCCGCGGTGAGCGGCCCTCCCCTCCCCACCGTTCCTCCCTCAGCCCCGGCACCCGCCCGGGAGGAGACGGGGCTTTGCCAGGCCCGGGGCGGGTGGGGAGGCCTTGGGGAAGGGGGGGCCCGCTCCTCAGGCACCGAGGCTTCGCGGCTTCGGCCCTTCCCGTCTGGGCAATGGGCGCCCTGTGAGCCTGGTCCCCTCGCTGGGGGCGCGTGTAGGAGGAGGCGAGCGCCTGAGAGACCCGGATCCCCCGGCCGTGGCCCTCCCTCGCCTGCCCGGCCCCTCCCACTCGTCTGCCCCGGGGCTGCCACCGCCCGGCGTCGGCGCTCGTCGCTTCCTCGCGGCGCCGCCGCCCTCTGGGCCTAGCCCGCCCAGCGCGGCGAGCGGCGGCTGTGCGAGCTGATCTGTCGCCGCATCCGCCTCGACTCTGCGCCCGGCCCGGCCCGGCCCTGCCCCTCATGACTGCGGCGCCTCTGCTGCCACCGCCTGTCCGGCCGCCGCTCGCCGCAGGATGGATGCGGACCGTGCGGCGCTAACCCCCGAGGCTCTGCTCCTGGATCGCCCGCCGACGAGCCTGCCTCGTGAGCCGCAGCAGCCTCGGTGCCAGCAGCCGCCGCAACTGGGCCCCGTGTCCCGCCTCTCCTTCGGGGCGGCTCGTCAGTGCTGAGCGAGGCGTCGCCCCGCTCGGCCGGAACCCGCCGTGGGAGCGGTGCCCTGCGGACCTTCACCCTCGTTTCATTCACAAATCTGAGCCCGCTCGCCTCACTCCGGTGGACCAACCATGTCTGGCGGCGCCGCAGAGAAGCAGAGCAGCACTGCTAGTTCCCTGTTCCTCTCGCCGCCGGCGCCCGCCCCCAAGAATGGCTCCAGCTCCGATTCCTCCGTTGGGGAGAAACTGGGGGCCGCGGCGAGCGACGCTGGCGCTGGCAGGACCGAGGAGTACCGGCGCCGCCGCCACACTATGGACAAGGACAGTCGTGGGGCGGCCTCGACCACTACCACCACTGAGCACCGTTTCTTCCGCCGGAGCGTCATCTGCGACTCCAATGCCACTGCGTTGGAGCTTCCCGGCCTCCCTCTCTCCCTCCCCCAGCCCAGTGTTCCCGCGGTTGTTCCGCAGAGTGCTCCCCCAGAGCCCCACCGGGAGGAGACCGCCACCGCCACCGCCGCTTCCCAGGTGGCCCAGCTGCCTCCTTCCGCTGCTGCTCCTGGGGACCAAGCCGTCCCGGGCCCTGCCGCCTTGACTGCCCCCAGCAGTACCGGCAAAGACCGCCCAGTTTCCCAGCCTAGCCTTGCGGGGAGCAAAGAGGAGCCGCCGCCGGCGAGAAGTGGCAGCGGGGGTGGCGGCGCGAAGGATCCTCAGGAGGAACGGAGTCAGCAACAGGATGACATCGAAGAGCTGGAGACCAAGGCCGTGGGAATGTCCAACGATGGCCGCTTTCTCAAGTTTGACATTGAAATCGGCAGAGGCTCCTTTAAGACTGTCTACAAAGGTCTGGACACCGAAACCACTGTGGAAGTCGCCTGGTGTGAACTGCAGGTAAAAACTCTACCTACTTTATTTTACAGTCATTTGGATCCTAAATTTGGCTCGGTTAAGCCAGTTTATCGAGTTCACCTTTTACATGACATTCTCTGACTCTGAGTAGGAGGAGGAGGCCACCTTTTGAAAAGAGATTGAAATTAGGAGAATGTGGAGCATGTGCCTAGGTGTTGGAATAGGATAAGAATTATTGGTAGCCGAAGGGATTTGTGACCAGGCAGGGGTGGTGAAGGTCATCTTAGTACAAATGAATTGTCTCCTCATTGGTGTCTGGCAGGAAACTTGGAATTAGTGGGGAAGTTTTTGAGTTAGGAAAGTACAGAGGCTTCTTGCTCTGTGCATTTCAGTCTCATCAGAGGCTCTGCAGTGAGAAACTGCCCCTGTGAGTAGAGGAGTGTTTATATCCTTGAGATCAGGCTGTTCTTTTTAAATAAGGACGCACTTGTTCCTTTGGATATGTCTCACTTGATGGTTGCACAGGCATTTAGTATAAAAGAATTATAAAAAAAAGACTTTCTTCTCTGCCCCTTTTGGTTAAATGCCTCGATACTAGTAAGGTACAAGTAAAATGTTTGATATTATTCCGCCTGATGATGCTTATGGTTTATAGTATCAGCAGTGCTCTGACGTTGTTCATTAAACGAATGTCTTGAGCTCATTCACTATACAGTGAATAGCATAGGAGCACATGCAAAATTGTATAAACGCTTTGATATATGTAATGTTGCCATCATTGTTTTAATCCTGTTATAAAACATTAAAAAGCTAAGTTTTCCCAAGAGTCCAAGGGAGTCACAATGCTTCCTTTTATAACCTTTCGTGATGTAAATAATGGTGTGTCATTCTGGTTGACCAGTATTCTAAGTTTAAATAGCTGAGTTTGGGCTACTTGTTGCTTGACCTACTGTAGCAGCTTGCTTGAATGTTGCCATGGTGAGGCATAGGTGAATTGGTAGAAGCATAGTTACATTGAAGGAAAAAAAAGTCAGCTACGTTATACATACATGAAAAATGCCATCAGTACTCTTCTTACCAGGAACATGGACCAAGCTGAAATAGGATGTGAAAGTAACTGAATGATCTCGGAACTTATTTTATCCATGCACTAGTATGTTAACGCTTAACCTTTTGAATGTCAGCTTCCAAATGACCTAGGCCAGATCAAATATGAAAGGAAATTAACACAGCATGTGGAAGTAAACTTAAAAACTGACAATTTCTTTAGAAACATAATGGCTTCTTAAGTTTTACAGTTAATGATGTGGAACTTCTAAGGCTGTGTGAAATTAAAACTGATTAATTAATTTTTAATAGTTTAGATTTAGAAAGGTGACAGACTTTTTTTTTTTTAAAAGAAACTTGTCAATCTGTACTGTTACTTTATTCCTGTTGGACAATCATACTCAAAAACTTAGATCTGATTCCTTTTGACATACAGGCAAAAAATTTACAGGCAGGCATCTATTTCTTATACTACTCATGCCTGTTGTTGCTGATCCTGGAATTTTATTCTTCTGTTGTTGTTGTTTATTTGAATAGATGCTTTTAACAATTTTAACAATTTTTTTCTTAACCAGTTATCTTACTTTCTTAAGATTGGACCCAAATAAGTGTTGAGCACTTAATAGATTAATTTTGTTAGCTTTAATTATTTCACTTTTAAGACATCAGAATGTAATGTGTATGGTTTTCCTTTATCACTGGGAGTTTTCTGATTATTACACAGTGTGAAAAACTCAATTTATCTAGTGTCACAATAAGAACTTTGTCTAAGCTTCACAGTTTTTCTTAGAATTCATGACTTTTTGGATTTTTACTTTTCTTTCTAGGCCTGGGCATGACCAAACTAAGGAAAATCTTATATCGCATATTATTACAAGGACAGTTGACTGTTTGGCTGCAGAACCAAGTGGGCTGGTTTAGAAACTTCCATGTCATTTGCCCATGCTTCTACAGTTTTTTGTTTTTGTTTTAAAAATGATTACCCTAGCCCAAGGATCCTTTATAGCAGTAGTTGGGCAGTCTTTGTTCTTTTGACCAGGATACTTGCAGTACTTGCCTAATAAAGTATTCAGTAGGTCATTGTTTGAACTTTTCTCTTTGGATCCAAATTAAAGGACAGGCCAAGGAATTTCCAAAGCATTGGGAAGAAGGGAAAGCTTTTTCACTAAGTGTATACTAGAAGTATACATATGTATACTTCTAGTGTACATATTTTATACTAATATGCTAGTATACTTCTAGTATACATATTTTTCTGTAGCAAGACAGGAGAAGTATTGTGTGCAGTTGTTAAAAGTCTCCATTGTATTAAAATTGAAAGAAATTTTAGGTTAGCATACTGCCTACCTGCTTATTTGTTAAAAATAAGGAAACAAATCATAGAGCAGTAAAATAACTTAGGTTGGTGAAGAATAAAAATTAAACTGGTTAGGATCTAATAATTTGGGAGATGTTAAAGCATTTAGTAGAGGGCTAATTAATAATTTCAAATGAAGCAATACTGTTTTTGTGTGGAAGTGGTTGTCAGATTTCTGGAGAAATCCAGTCCTATTAACCATGGCAAATTTCAGGCTTCTGTTTTGGTTACTGATTTTATCACTTCAAATGGATATATAAATAGGCTTTGGGGAATGGGTGAATATGGTATACAAATCAAACTACTTTTTATCAAGCTTATCTTTAGACTCACAGTACACATAGCTATCTTGTAAAACAAGCATCAATTCTTAGGAAATAATACCTAGGTAATACTTTAATACCACAAGATCTTAAGAAGTAATTGATATGTTTTGAGTAAAATGCAGATTTCTTTACCCAGCTTTATTAGTCAAATGGTGTGCCTTAATTTTAATACCTAGTTGCCTTGGTCAGAAAATGTTATTGCTGGTCTCTGCCTGCAGAGTTTTACATTGCTTTTCTAGGGAGGGACCTTGTTTTTTAAGAAAGATAGCATAATTTGCTTTATTTTTTTATTTTTTAACCAAGAGATAAAATCAAGAGTGCTTTAAAAAAATTATACACAGATTTAAGCACTTTTCCCCAAAATTGCCTCTCAAGAGTTCACCTTATATTGATGAGATTGTTTTCAGATCTACCTGAAAAGAGAGGTCAAATCATATATATATATATATATATATATATTTTTTAAGCTCCAATATACTTAGTGCTTACTTTGCTTTGGCTTTTAGTAATTAATTTAACACTTGTGTCTCATGAATATAAACTTTTTGTGAAAAGTTTAGCAGTGCTGCAGAAATGTGGTTCTGATTTAAAAAACATCATAGCTTATTTTTTTGACATAGTTCTTAAAATAGTCATTGAACTGAATCTCCCCATTTGCATGTTGACAGTTTTTCCCCCTCTTCTAAGTTTCTGCCATATTCCTTATTTGCCAGGATGAAAATTTGCAGTAACTTTCAGTCGTGGGAACTCTGAATTTCAGGGGATAGTCTGGATTTTTTGTTTGTTTGTTTGTTTTTTTAAACCCTCAAAGTCATTGATTGGGAGTATGTGCAAAGTTCAGACAACATCTTTACCTTTAGGTAAAGGTTAGCTGCTTTCGAATTAAAGAATGCTTGGTGACTTGTTTGAAATAATCCATTGTCCCTTTTTAGCAGGCTAGAATTAGAGGCAGTATGATTTTTGATTAGGTAAGATTTAATTCAAAATATATGTAGATTTTTTGCCTTAGGAATTAATCGTGTTAAAGGAATAGAGAATTACATTTAGTTTTTTTTGTTGTTGTTGTTGTTGTTTTTTAAGTGATATAGTTACTTCTTAGTCTTGGGGGCTTAAATGTTTTCATTTTCTCTTATTTACTTTTTTTCTGACCCATAGTAACACACTCTTAAGAACTAGTGTAAAAACTTGGAAAAAGAGGTTATTTTTTTTTCTTTTTTCTTTCTTTTAGTTTAAGACAGTGTCCCTCTCTGTTGACTGGGCTAGAATGCAATGGTGTCATCATAGCTCACTGCAGCCTCCAATGCCTAGGTTCAAGCAATCCCTCCTTAGCCTCCACTGTAGCTGGGACTACAGGCCTGTGCCACCTCTCCTGGCTTTTTTTTTTTTTTTTTAATACAGATGGGGTCTTCCCTATGTTGCTCAGGCTGGTCTCCAACTCCTGGGCTCAAACAATCATCCTGCCTGGACCTCTCTAAGTGGTAGGACTGCAAGTGTGAGCCACTGTGCCCGGCTGACAGTGCATTTCTTGACATTCAAATTTTAGTGCAAGATCCATCCTGGTCATTTTGAAATACATCTTAGTTCATCCCTATTGGAAATATTTAATTAAAATTGGCTTCTCATTTCAGATTATCATCCTAAACCTGTTATTTGGGGTTTTCTGGTAGCTTTAATGTTTTTTACATAAAGCTGTAAAAGCCGCAAAAGTAGGTTTACTCAAATTATCATTTCTGAAAATGTTAGTATACCATGAAATAATTCATCATTGTAACTAGTAGGTCTTTGCTATACAAGTTCTTTAAATTATGTTGATACATTTTTAGTAACTTCCATTTTATTTGAGTTTTTTTTGTTTAACATAGATAAATATGGTCTGCATGAATACGTGAGACTTAGCATGACCTCAATTTAGGTTTGAAGAGGCCACTTTCCTGTACTGTAACATAATAGTTAAGAACTAGATTGCCTGGTTTTAAATCAAGGCTCAGCTACTGGACTGTGTCATCTTGGGCTGTGCTGCAATTTCCTATAAAATGGGTGTAAAAGAGTGCCTACTTTATAGAGTTGTGATGATTAAATTAATTAGAATATGTAAAATATGTAGGTTAGGGTCTGGCACATAAATGTTAATGATGATGCAGCATCTTTTTTTAGATTGTCCTTTTGGGGGACTCAAGATTTTGTTTGATTTGTGTATGTGTGTGTGCATGTATGTATGATAAGTATGTATGTATGTATGTATTCAGAGACGGGATGTCACTATGTTGCCCAGGTTGGCCTTGAACTCCTGGGTTCAAGCGATCCTCCTGCCT